ATAGCCGGTCCTTAGCAAAGCACGGAAGGTGAGATAGGAAAAAATTTACACGAATACCAGTGTTAGTAGCATCTTTCACAGCAGCAAGGAGATTATCATAAACAGGGTTGAAGGTCATGGTGAAAGCGCTGTCGATGATCCTTCCATTCACATGAACACCAAAGTCCACCTTCATGACATCATTCTGCTTGACAGCTATTCCAACATTCAGCAACAACAGATCAGCATTGCGCGGGGGGGGGCCAAGGTTGACTAACTAATCTTATTTCCCGCATTAGGGGTATAATGCGCAGCACAGTTATTAATGCTAACACCAGTCGGAAATCCCATTCCGGCAAGTAAAGAATCACCCTCAGTCAAACCATCATGGCCAGTCAAGGCCCGGACAGAGTTCTCAATCCCCTCAGTAATCTCAGTAAGGCTCATATCAGGCTTAATCCACCCCTGAGCCCACTGCCTAACCTGCCGATGAACTTCAGCACCCTTCCTATAATCCGTCAAAAAGTCATTGTTCATCCTATCCAAATGTCGTTTCTCTTCGTCGGTGTTGCGCTTGAGGTTCTCATCATGATAATCACACTCTTCCCCAACCGGAAAGTGGCCATTGGGGAATAACTGATCGAGGGGAACTCTGGGGGGGTTCGACTGTGTGGATGCAGCCGACTTGTTCTTCTTCTTAGGCTTCTTTTTCTTCTTCTTCTTTTTGACAGCTATAGTAGGCCAGATCAATTATTATATTGTTACTTGTGAGCACAAACAATAGTCTGGCAAACTTACCACCTACTCCTGGAGCCCCAGCTTCTTCTTCCTCGTCCTCGGAATTTTCGTTGACAAGATTGTTGCCATTGGAAACCTTGTCCTCCTCCGAGACTGGTGCGAGACGTAATGTGTTAGCCCAAGTTCTTCAAGAACAACGCGCGATAAAGCAGGAGGCTAGCAAGCAAGGCAACCTTTCATCTTCTCGAGATACACGATGGCCGCCCCCACAGTGGTGCCCATCATTTGTGAACTGTGTTTTTTTTTTTTCGTTAGAAATAAGGCACGAGCCTGAGTGTTTGGAAAGCGAAAGGGAGAGAGAGGAAAAAGGGAATTTGGGGGCAATTTGAGCTAGGGCTGTTGTAATGGGTGAGCCACGGCTACTGCCACACAAGTTCCTAATCATGCCAAAATTCGCCCCCTATGAGCTCTAGTGCGCCAACGTTATTGGGGACTTCTCACACGTTTGCTTCTAACCCATGTACCAACTAGACTACCCTTTGCCCCCTCTCTACTGCATTGTTGCTCGCCTTCACCAGCACCCCTCATTTCTCACTTTGAAAAGAAAACACCCAGTCGGCATGCTCAATAGGCAATGCAATTGCGCCCGACACTATCAAACATCCTAAGCGGAACCCGCTCACTCCTCCCCTCTAGAGCCAAACCCTCAAAATTCCATACCTCAGCCATATGCCTGGCCGTTGAAGCAACCCACTACGAAACCCTCGGAGTACCTTACTCCGCTAGCAAGGCTGAAATAAAGAAGTAAATCCCCCATCACCTATCTATCTACTCCACCCCATCCCCTGCCTGGCTTTGCCTGTACAACCCGCTTACCGATCCTTTAACAGGCGATACTACGAATTAAGCAAAAAACACCACCCGGACCTCAACAATCATGACCCACACGCTCCAACACGCTTCCTACGCATCAGCTCCGCATATGCGATTCTCGCGAACACAGAGAAGAAGGAGAGGTACGATAGGGAAGTCCGACGGCGGGTCGGTGGGAACACAGCCCGGACATCCAGTGCCGGTGGAAGCCCTCTAGGCGCAAGGCCCCCCCATGGGCTGAGCAAGAGACAAACACATTTCCATGGCCCGCCGCCCTCGTTCTATCAAAATGGGGGGTGGGCTACGTTTAAAGGAAGTCATTGCGGTCCCAGACCTGATGCTGTAGGAGCAGAGGGGGCCGCTGGCTCTTCGAAGGATAGCTTCACGGACGATGTGCCCCACTTCAATTTCGATTTGAAGTATCGCCAACATAGGACGCAGGAACAGAGGTGGGAATCGAGATACAAGGCCCCTAGGGTTGTTGATCATGAGAAGGGGATGATTACGTCTTTGGTTGGTGTGACTATGATTTTGTTAGTTGCTGTCTCTTTAGGGTCCCACAGACAGTCCAAACAGGGTAGAAAGCAGTGTGTATTTTAGTTACAATAGAGTCCAGTCATGTGAAAAAAGTCTGTGGACGAAGTGTCTTGGCATGATACAATGAACAGGCTCGCATGTAGTGAGATTCTTCAGTAGTAGCAGCCCCACAAGTACAAATTCCAAACGGGTGAAGAAAGGTGAAATCAGCTGTGAGGATCCCCTTATCCATGATTGAAAAGCATGCTGCCAGTGCAGGTCAGTCATACTCGTACAGTACAACTGCTGAAGACTTCATGTTTCCAAAAGTGCCATAAGTTATACAAAACTGAAATTTACAGGTAAAAAGAACACAAAACAGATCCAGCACCTCAATCAGGAGAACCAAAAATGTTGTCTTACAGCAACGTGTAACAGGAGCATCCTATGGGAAGATGGATCCCAAGATTGCAACCATACCGAAGTGTTCTTTCTGAAAATAAAGATAGATAATCAAGAGCATAGCTGAAAAAAATAAAGTAGTAAAGCTTAATATTGTTAAACTAACACTTTGTTCAATTAAGTCCTTATCTTGAGGGGTAGTTGATTGCCAGAGTAGTGGAAACCTGCATATATTTAAGTAGACTTGATATATTACTGGTTACTGCCTATAACTGTAATAAACTGCGAGAATGGCAGCAGTTATAGAAGGTCAGACCTATGCCTATACTGGAGTCAAGAGATTACCAAGACAGTAATGGTGGAAGACTAGAGTCTACGAAAGAGAGATACAGATAGTAAGATATTACAGACAGACTAGACCACACTTTACGAAAGATACTAAGAAACCTTAAAGCAAGGGCTGGTTATTGTACTGGGTGGTGTAACCTAAGTAATTGATTTAAGAGTTACCTGGAATTACAAGAGGGTACTTAAGAGTAGTTTTAACCTACCTGCTGGGTATATTTACCATGTAATGGGCCATGGGGTACCATGCTATGAAGCAACTCGATCTTGAAAAAAACCTGTTACACTGGACATAAAGGAAAGTTACTAGATTGTTCGTTAAATGACACTAAATAGTGGAATGACCCGGGACTGCATCTATAGAAAGGTATTCTTCTCAGCTTATTATTCAACTTCTATTAAGATAACCAGCAACCCATGTCATCTTTCTGTAGTTGTCATTGGAGAGTAGTTAAGAACTTAAATTGTATGAATAACTGTTGTAGTTGACAGTTACTTGTCAAGATTGTTAATGTGTAGTGCCTATCAGGATAAGCAGAAGGATGTGTCTGCCGCACTGGCTACGTGGTCTACTATCAGGATATAATAGAATTGAGTAGACTGTGATAGATATTAAATAGGTAGCACTAAAGACCAGAGTGACAAAATACATATGAATGGGAAGTTCAATAGTGGATGGGACTTCCAATTGACAGGATGGTTTACCGCAGAAATGTCAGCAATTAGGAGAGCTTTTATTCCTGTAAGTGTATTGGAGATGCAGAAGCTAAAGCATTTAAGTGTCACGGAAGTTGAAAAACAGAGTAGCAGTCAGGATGTACTAACAGGAGCTTTTTCTGAGAAGATGGATCCTGAGGTTATGACTGTATGGAAATGGATTCTTTAAGAAATAAATATAATAAAAACTCAACATCTCAGTGATAGAGGTGAGAAAGCAAAGATGTAAAACCTAATATCTTCAAGCTACAGCTTTACTCAATTAAGTCCAGATCTTGAGAGGTAGTTGATTGCAAGAATAGAGGAGAACTTGCATATACTTAAGTAGATATCATATGTTGCTCATTGCTCCCCATCAATACTCTGTGTTTATAAGCACCTAACTCTCATAGGCAGTCTAGCTAATCTGCACAGGTTAGACTAAAGATCTTCTATAGTGAACTAGACTACTCTGTGGTATGCTAACATCGACACGACAAAATTGTTTAAGGAGCTGCATCTACAATGAAACTGGAGGAGTAAAAACTCTTCTAATCATGAACATATCAGCAGCAAGCTGTCCTGCCCGAGTGGATGCAATACCAACTATGGAGCTCTTTACCCATATAAACTTAGTCTTCCACAACTATACAGGGAGATCGAGGATATTGAAGGTGAGTTGTAATTGGAAATAGAAACAATTGTCAGAGGTGAGATATACTCTTACTGAAAGAGAGTACAGAGTCGCTACTAAGAGGTATATGAACTATAGTACTGTGTTAAATGGCAAGGCTGTTCTGAAGATGAGAACACCTGGAAACCTGCAACAGGTATAGACAATGCAAGGGAAATTGTGGAAGAATTCCAGCATAATAATCCGGAAATACCATGGCAGGCAGAGAGAGGATCATGTGGAAAAAGGTTTTCCTACTGTGGTCAAGAAAAGATGGAAGTGTTTTCATCCTGTCTTCTTCAGGTCCTAAAGGAGTTAACGTTTAAGGTTTAACAATTAATTATTTGAATTTAATTTTTAATTTTTAATTTGTTTAAGATATATCCAAAAGGCATTTGAGTTGAAGCCTTAAGGGGAAAGAGCTCATATTAGGAATCCTGAGATCTGATATCTAGGAACTACTCTAAGTAGGAGAACCTCACTCAGAATTGGAATCAGTGGTCTCTAAGACCCCTTTCTGGCCCCATTATGAGGCCCACACATTACCATACATTTCTATCTTAGTTGTGTCCCGTAACTATATAGCTACAGAATTGAAAGTGTCAGAATGACACTATATATATCACTGCCACGTGTCTGACTAGATCCTATTTCTGTAATATATTACACAACACCCTCTGCTACGTCGAGAATACGGAAGGATGTAAATCCGTCAACTACTGAGACAGCTACTAGGCTTTAAATATGTGACATCTATGGTAAGAGCCATAAGTAAGGTGACAATTCTGGATGAAGATATAGTACAGAATGTTAAAGGGTCTCTAGGAGAAACTAATATATTCACAATGACTCAGTGATAACTGACGGAATCTACAGCTCCAAGGGATACTACCATGGAAGTCAATGGACTTCACAAGATGTTACAACTAGATCCAGGCATGCGTTTTTGTTGGCGGAATAGTCCCCTATACTAGAACAGCAATTGAAATCCTATTATTCAGAGCAAGTCAGGATTACTGACCAAGGGAATATCTGTCAATCCATTAGAATAGCTTCCTAGCAATTAATAGAATGCCATCCAGAAGATATCTGTCAGTTGGATTCGGAGGTATGGTAGTTTAAAGTTAGATGTGCAATGAAGGTTGTGATTACAACTACCTCTGCAGATACAACTCACAGATGAACCTTATCATCTCATTGATGGTGAAGACAATTTGAGCCAACGAAGTTTGACTTGACAACAAGGCTATAAGTCTAAAGACTCTGAAGATCAGCTAATTACTATTGAGAATAGTATAGTTCCTAGGTTAGTAAAATAGTAATTACCGAAGAGAGTGTAGTGGCTTTCACGTTCTCCAGCTGCTCGCACCTTTGAAAATAATCCAATTCTGTGAGTTATAACTAGAGTAGTATTTACCTTGTATTATAAATAGATGTAGTCCGTGAATACTCAGATGTGGAATATAAATATTGAAGGGCCACCCAAGCTTCTAGATATCATCAAGTAACAGAGATCAGACTTTAACAATATAATGTTGTTCTTACAATTCCACTCTACTTGATCTACTTTACTTTACTCTTAGTAGTCATAAATGAAATAAGTGTAATCTGAGCCTTCCTATACAATCTCCATTTACCGAAATGAATTTTGGTTGGCTTATACTGCTCTGAAGTTTATCAGGTTGTCTCCGTCTAACAGGTACTGAGGGGAATTCCAGAAGGTAAGAAAACCATCAATTTTACACAGAGAAACAAGTTAACAATAGGCAATGTGGGAGGTACTGTAGTAGCAAAGGGAGGACAGGAGGTTGTACTGAGGGAGACACCTGGAAGTACGATTTCTATTTTAATTTATTAAGAATATTTTCGAAAAGTGATGATAGTACC